AAAAATTCCCTCTTTAAATCTGAACCTTTCTTGTCTCCCCATGCACTTGTTCTCCCTCTGTGGTGGCAACATAATGCCACTCCCCCCCAAAGATATGTATGTGCTAATTCCCGAAACCTGTTCTATTGCACAGCAAAGACCAATGGTTGTACATAGAATTAAGGTTGTAATAAGCTGGCCTTAAGGAAAGTAGCTGGAGTATCCAGGTGTGCTCAATGTAAACAAGGGTTCTTAAAGTGGGCAGGAGAGAGAGAGCTTGTAAGGCTGCATGAGAGGCCTGGCTGGGCGATGCTGCCTTTGCAGGTGAAGGAAGGGGTGTCAGCCAAGGAAAGCAGCCTACTTCTAGGAGTTGGAAAAGGAAACCGTCTGATCTTGGAGCCTCCAGAAGGAACTGCCTACTGACACCATGATCTGAGCCCAGGGAGACCCAGGTCAGACTTGGAACCTGCAGAACTATAAGATAACACCTTTGTGTTTATTTTTCATTTTGAGCTAAATTTGTGTGAAGTCGTTACACTAGCAGTGGGAAACTTACACATTGTGCCCCTCTCTGAACTCCAGTGTCCCCGTGCCCCACTCTCCACGGCTCTGGCTACAGCGCCCTGCTTGCGTGTCATAAGGCTCACGGTTAGCCATTACAGCACGGTATGTGCTTATTCCTTACATGGTCTGTCACCCTGGGGTTAAGACCCCACCCTGGATGAACCCTTATTGCTGCTTCTTATTCCTTCAATATTCTCTTTATTGAAACCTTGTCTTTGCCATAGTAACTCTTCCGAATTACACAACCCCTCAAGCACCCCCAATCCTGTCCTCACCTTGTTACATCTTAGCAAATGACCACATCCCTACCTTGCTGATAGGGTTAACACCATCATTCTAGGGATCCCTGCACTTTTGACCTCAGGAACTCTCTATGACCTCCCAGTTATCCATTTTCAGGTTTCTATCACTCATTCTCTGTGCAGCATTTCACAGTGTCAAAACAACCTTCCTTTAACTTGTTTCCATGACCTCTGTGACATTACACTCATTTTTCTATCCTTTTAATTCCACCAATCTCCCACCCTACCTCAATCAGCCATACTTCTTTTAACTTCCCATATCTAAGCCTTCCTTTGGTTCGGTTCTCAAACCTCAGATCTTCTCTTAAAATTTATTCCCTTGGCAGCTGTAACCTCATCCAAGACTCCGCAGATCACCACTACAAAGGATTCCTTCATATCCGGACTTCATGCCCCTTTAGGTTACATATAAACATCAAGTTCTGCCCTGGCCAGTTTGGCTCAGTGGTTAGAGTGTCGGCCTGTGGTCCCGAGAGACCCGGGTTTGGTTCCCGCTAAGGGCACGTACCTCGGTTGCAGTTTGTCCCCGGCCCTGGTTGGTCGTGCGGGTGGCAGCCACTCGATGTGTCCCTTTCACATCGATGTTTCTCTCTCTCTCTCTCTTCCTCTCTCTCCCTCCCACTCTATCTGAACAAAAAATGGAAAAATGTCCTCAGGAGAGGATTAAAAAAAAAAACAAAAAAAAAACCCAAAAACAAACAAACAAAAAAAACATCAAGTTCTTTTAGCTCCATTGCTCAGGGAAAGAGGTCTTCTTCCAGGCAACTCATACCTAGGACTCAGATGCAGGAACTGAGACCCCTGTGTTCTTGGTCCTCTTCTGGGATGGAAAGGGAGGAGGCAGGACTTGTGGTCAGAGCACCGGATCCACCTGGGTTCAGGTCAGCACATACCTACCCCCGTTTCAGCCCCACCTCAAGAATTTATGAGAAATGAAACAGGCCATGCCAAAGTGCCTATATTTCATTTCTCTAGGGTATTTGTCAATTTTGTAAAAGTGACTTCCTTGCTGGACTGGAAAAACTGGCTCTAGAGACTTTTCTGAGGTAGGGCAGGTAGAAGGTTTAGTTGTTTCGCTGTGAATGGCTTCTGAGGAAGACCTGGCCAACTTTCCCCCCGACAGTAGACACTTGTATACCATTTGCTTCAGGTTCTCTGAAGCAGGGGGAGGGTCAGAATTTGAATAGGTATAAAGGGCCTGAGGAGGCCTGAAGCTGGAAGTAGAGGTATTATTGTCACCAAGAGATAGTTTCATCCTGCGGGATGGTCATGGTCCTCTGGTTCTATCCTGGGGGGTGGTCATGGGTCCTCGTCTGAAACGTACGACCTCCATCCAGAAGTACAGCAGAGTAGCCCTTCCCCAAGGCAGCTCTGGGTGTCTCCCCAGCTCTCTAGTGCTTTGTGGACTGTGGACTGCAGAACCCAGCCAGGTAAGGTGTACAGGACTTTATTGAGACATATTGTCGACCAGCTTCAAATTTTACTGCAAAAAAATATTTATGAAACAATATGAAACCTTACCTTATGCTATAATGATGTGAAAACAATGAAATTGGTCCATAGAATGTGCTAGTTACTTCTCTGCTTTGTATATTACGTCACCTGTATAGTGTTTGGTTTGTGGCTTTGATTCATACGATTTTCCCCGTGTGATATTCTATCAGTGAATAAGTTCCTTACAATCAAACTTGGCAGGCTCATTGATTTATACTGGGAAGTTTATTCAAGCATATATACCAGGTATCATATTAAGGCACCAGACATTTTAAGATAGGTACATCGTAGTCTTTATCTCAAGAATTTCAATATCTTAGACTCTGGAAGGAAGGATTCTTTTTTTTTTAAGTAATTTTACCAAGTTTGACATGTTTCTAGCCTACCCACCTGTGCCAAAGGAAAATAATTTTTGTACTAATTCAGGTGTACATCGTTAAGTTTATCTTGGAAGGTTCAGCTAGCACCTGTTTTTCTTTTGCAGCTGAGCAAAATGGAAACTCACCTTTTGGTGGCGTAGAGCAGTGCTTGCTCCCCAGAAACCAGGGATAATTATGCACAGTTTAGGAAAGGGCGTAGATGGGAAGCTGCTGCCGTTGGGAAGAGGAAACCTAGGCTCTAGAAATAGGAAGCACCTACGGGATATGAAGAGACTGTTTAGAAAGCGAGGAAACCGAAAGTGACAGCTATTTATGGTGACAATGAACAAGACAGGAGCGTGGGACCTAGAGAGTAGCACTGAGAAATTAAAAGGAGTGACCGTTTAGCTCCCTGTGATTTTAGGTTTTGACTAGGCTACGTAGAATCTCCCGACCTACAGAGTCAGGAGATCTGAAGACCTAAAAACAGTCTGTAGTGTCATCTTTCTGAAATGATTTAGATGTGGCCATGTGAAGGTAGGGAGGTCATTTTTTTATCATCTAGAGCGATTGCCAGGGTCTCTGGTTCTATGAATGGATCTGACTGAACATACAAGTGACTAGTAAAGGACTCTAAGGGCTCCATCTATTACCTGGTCTCTTGGTTTTTAATTTTAACTGACATAAAGGAAATATTTAAAAGGCAGGTAAATCCCATGTGAATGAACTATTTTCATGTTTTTGTGTTACCTTCCAGTTCTCATCCAGTACCCCCATATTTGTGATGTAGGTGATTGGCATGGGGATTTGTAGGACCTCAGTTGTAGGGGGCTGAGTTAATCATGGTTCTCAGTTCATGGCATGCCATCCCTGGTCTGAGCTGGGCTCCTTGTTGTTTATTCTTTAATTCCCTTTTATCCTCACCCCCGATCCCATTTCTCTCTCTACTCCACACCATTCTGTTGTGTTCAGTGTGCATACATTTACTTGGATGTGGCCTGGAAATATGTGTGTAGTTGTTTTGTATGCATCTTCTCTGCGTATACATAGTTATGTTGTTGTATACATCTTATTCTGTTTCTCTTGGTGAAAACGTGGCAGTGTATACTTCTGCTTGTTATTTCTAATTATTGTCTAGAATTCTAGAGCACATCCACCACATTTTCTTACCCTCCAGCTCCTCATGCCAGATGACGCTGGTGTGTACACCCTCAAGCAGGTCACTTTATGCTGTACATCAAATGTGTCCCTCCTGGGAGAGGATATAGCTGTAAGTTAGACTGCTGATTCATACAGGCTATATTTGCTGGAATGGCTGTACTAGTTTATATTCCTAATAGTTCACATTTCTGTGAACACTACAATTATCCAACTTTCTGATTTTTGCCATGCTAATAGGTGTAAAATAATACCTCATCTTAATTTGCATTTTATTCTGATCCACATACAAGTTAGAGCATCTTTACATAGTTAATTCTATTTTATATATTTATCACTAAATATACATTGCTATGTATCTCTCTGGTTTTCAGTATCTGGGTTGATTATGTTAAGATGTGTTTAATCATAACATTTAGGTTGAATCATATGCAGCTGTTAGGTTAACCACTTTTGATCTATAAAAACAGCAAAATCTTGCCCTGGCCGGTTTGGCTCAGCAGTTGGAGCATTGGCCTGCGGACCAGAGAGTCCCGGGTTTGGTTCCTGCTAGGGGCATGTACCAAAAAAAAAAAAAAAAAAAATTCAAAAAAACAGCAAAATCTTTGATCCAATGTAATATATTATTGGACATATAGGTCTTTCTGAGTTTTTGTTATCATGAATAGTATTCTAGTAACTATATACTGCGTCATATAGCATTTTTCTTCTTTTGAATTTTTCCTTAGGATAAATTCCTAAGGGAAAGAATGTCAAAGAACGGATATTTTATGGCTATTGTTATATGTTGACAAATCACTTTCTAAAAGGGCCATACTTATTTACATTATACATCAGTATACGTTATCATGACTGTACTAGTTGTACTCTAACTTCACCATAACATTATCATCTAAACTATTACTTTAATAACTATAAAATATAAACTTGTTTGTACCATTTTATTACAATTAACAATCATTTGTTCAAGTGTTAATTGAGGAATAGTATGTTTTTTTAGAAGTATGGTCTACTTATACCCACCGTCCATTGTATTTTGGTGTCTTTTTTTTTAATAGTCAATTTGAAAGTGGGTTTAATATACTGTAGATTACCCTATCCTCAGTTCCCAAAATTATTCATTTACGTATGTTTTATTATTCAGATGACAATCAAAACAAAACACATGATAAAAAAGAGAAGAAGATGGTGGTTCAGAAGCCCCATGGTACTGTGGAATACACCGTAAGTATAAAGGGGAAGTGTGGATGTTTGTCATATAATGTCTCTCCTGACAAATGCTGCCCTTAGCCGCATTCTTCCCTGTACGTGATAAACAATGAAGCTTCTTAAGGCCTGTTGGAAGTCATTTTCTTCTCTCCATATTTTCTCCCTGGACAATCTCACGTAAACCCATGACTTGAATTACCTCTGATCTGCCAATGACAACCAATTTTTGGTCTTCATCACAGACATGCTTTCTGAGTTCCAGAGCCATAGATTCAGTTGACTTCTCTACATATGTACTTAGACCTTCATGCTTGGTCCTTTTGAAAGCAGCAGTGGCTCCATCATCCATACCTTTCTCCAAGCCCAGCCTTATCCGCGACCTTTTCCCGCTACTCTCCCGCTACGTTCCCGTTCACTCTTACCTTTTATAAGCATCCAGCAAGCCTAGATCGCTCTTCATTTTCTTTTCTCACAGAATCATGTTTCTTTACATAATTTATCTCAGTTTAACACTATTGATTCACTAGTAGAAGATCTGGAATTCAGAGCCAACAGTCTGGGCTCAGTCTATATTTGCAATCTGTGTCTTCCACTGACTCTAAATTCTGAAAATCCCTGGATTTGACTATACAAGGGTGGACAAAAGTAGGTTTACAGTTGTTATACAAATAAATAATCCAATAAGTAATACATAATACAAGAATAAACTATTTCACGTACTCACAACTGTAAACCTGCTTTTGCCCAGCCTGTATTATGTAAATATCTAATATTGAAAAAAATATATATATATGTAAACTTTTCATTTTTAGTAGAGTTAATTTTGCTCAGGGTAGAGGGTAGAGCATATATTGTTAAGTTTTCAGTGATTTAAAAAAAATGTATTTATATCCTAGCTTTTTCTAGGAATGCTTTGAAGTAATTTTAGTTCCTGACTGGTGTAGCTCAGTGGTTGAGCACTGACCCACGCACCAAGAGGTTGCCAGTTTGATTCCTGGTCAGGGCACATGCCCAGGTTGTGGGCCCAATCCCCAGTGAAGGGCATGCAGGAGGCATCCATTCTATGTTCTCGCTCATCAATGTTTCTCTCTCCCTTGCCCTTCCTCTCTCTCTCTAAAATCAATAAAGAAAAAAAAATTTTTTTTTTTAAAGTGATTTTAGTGTAATCTGTAACAATGAATTTGGTTAGCTTGAGACAGTCCCTCTAGTTGGTAGGTTTTTCATACTGAGGGCAGTAGTAGTTTAATTTTTCCTTCAGTTCAGTCTCCTATAGCCATCTCAAATCTCCACCTAGTTCAAGTGTTCCCTGGTGGAGACAGTTCTGCTTATAGGGACAGCCACCAGTCTTGACCTAGGGCTGTAGAAGGGAAATTTTCAGTGACATTCACCAATGTGACCTCCCGCTGACAAGTTCCATCCAGTGACCCTGGACAGGGAGTAGGTCCTGGGGCATTGACCTGACTAGAGGCCGCTGACTTCTTTTTTTGGGTGGGCTTTTCTACTGAGATGTTTCATATCTTCTTACTGCCCTCTTTATTCCTGTCTCCCTCTGTTAGAGAGAAAAGAACAACATATATCACAGGTTTTATAGATTTATAGAACAACACTAATTTGTCTGACTATGGGAAACTGTCCTTTTTAATGACTGTGAACAATTATTGGTAGCTAACCTAGATTTCTTTCAGCTTTTGACTGTATTCACTCATCAAATATCTAAGTACCTTTTACGTGTTAGGCACTGGGGGGAAATGGACATTAATAGGCCACCATTAATGCCTATAGTGTAGTGAAGAGACGGGCAAGTAGACAGAAAAAAGCAAAGAGAAGGTAAGTACAGTCGCCCCTCGCCACTTCGCGCTTCGACTTTCATGGCTTCACTCTATCACGGTTTTTTCAAATATATTCATTAAAAAGTTGATTGAGACAGTGAAAATGATACAGTGCACACTCGGTTGTCTGAGTCAATTATACACCTCTGTATTACAGTTAAAATTAAAATTACTGTATGTATGGACTGTAGGACTATGTATTCGAGCACCCCTGCAAATCCTTCAGTGCCAAGTGCAACCACTAGAGTCTGGAATGGATTAACCGCGATAAACGGGGGATGACTGTAGCCCCACTTACCCTATGGGTGGTACTATGTGTATGTTTTTTTTCTTTTCTTCTTATCGTTTTGTATTATACCTCATGGAAGTGTGTTCCATACACCAAAAGGGTGCCAAAATAAGTTTAGAAATCTGTTAGTGAACAGAGCAATTGAAGATAAAGGAGCCCAGAAATGAGTAACATTTAAAACCTTTTTTCTTAAGAATTGAGAATATATTTATTCTTTTTTATAATACATCCAGATGTGTGAATTCATTTTTATCACAAATTGATTAACGTTGTCTATCAAAAAGAAGTTTTCTTGCTCTGTTCTGTTCTGCTTTACGTATTGAATCTTGTTTGTCGGATGATTCTAGGCGGGAAGCCGGGACACCCTGAACTCCATAGCACTGAAGTTTAACATCACTCCCAACAAATTAGTGGAACTGAATAAACTTTTCACACATACTATTGTTCCAGGCCAGGTAATGATTTTCTTGCTGCATGTTACTTTAGCAATTTTATATTTATCTTTTATTGCCATTTTTAATGCCTCACTATTAGTGTCACAGGATTATCATCAATGATAATATGATTGATTTAGTCTTTCCTCTCCTTCAGGTCCAAGAATTCTGAAAGCATCTCTAGTCCTTACGAAGTGTTCAGAGATGAATGTTTTGCAGATGATTAATGCAGTTTACTTAACTATTACTAGTTTATATTGCAGATACTTTGAAGGGCGTCAAGAAAAGTTAAATTAATGTGACTGATTTTCCTATAGAATATCACATAGATATTCTTAATGAAATTGACAAATTGGACAAATTTGCCATTCTTGATTAATCCAGCAAAAAATATTTAGTATTTTCTACATGATAAGATATTCTTGTATTTCTATTTGAAAACTACATTTAGTCAATAAATGTAAACGACCCAGTCACTGGCAAATCCAAGCTGAGGCCAAGTTCAGTCCCATACATAGAGCTGCTTGGTTGCTATGAGCACGTTCTGGTTTCATTGCTGACTTACCAGAGCATCGTCTTGCATTTCTACATTATACTGAAATTTCATTCTTTTGGGACAGATACTGCTACTTTTATGTATAACTTCATTCAGGCAATGGTGGTGATGTTCTTTGCATTTTTTCCAAGGGAAGCACATCAAGCCAACAGGGCATAGTGGCCTAATTTGTACTATTGTGCTTTTGGTATTTGTCCTAGTCAAAAGGAGAAATTAGGGTACCACTAGTACCAGGTAGTTGAGGGGAAATATGCATTAAAACTTTAAAAAACTAATCAATTTTTATCTGTAGGAAAATTAATGGGGTATTGCTGCATAATGTGTGCATTATTGTGATTCATAAGAATGACCAAAATATATTTCTCATATATACAGGGGTGTGCAAAAGTAGGCTTACTAGGTTGTGAGGAATGAAACAAGAGTTTATTCTTGTATTTTTATTTATTTATTTATTATTGTATTTATTATTATTAACCTGCTTTTTCCCATCCCTGTATTTGGTCTTCCACAATTCCTGGCTCATAGCTCCTGAAACCCTTGGGATGTTTGGAGTAAAAAAAAAGGTATCTTTTGTTTTGCAAATGAGGTGACTCTTGGAAAGCACCTAGGGATGGCAGCTTGTTGCCAGGAGACAATTATGTTATTACAAGGTTGGAACTTTCAATTGGTTGTTCCCCTCACATCCCTACCCCCTGCTCCAGGGAGGAAAGAGATACTGGCTAGTGAATCCATCACCAAGGGCCAGTGATCTAGTCAATTATGAATGTGTAATGAAGCCTCCATAAAAACCCAAGAGGATGGGCTTAGGAGAGCTTCCTGGTTGATGAACATGTGGAAGTTTAGGGATAGTGGTGAGCCCATAGAGGGCTTGGAAGCTCCCTGCCCTTTCCCCATACCTTACCCTATGCATCTCTTCCATGTGGCTGTTCCTGAGTTGTATTCTTTTGCAATAAACCAGTGACCTCGTAAGTAATATGTTTCTCTGAGTTTTGTGAACTGTTCTAGCAAATTAATTGAACCCAAAGAGAGAGGTGTGGGAACCTCTGGTTATAGCCAGTTGCTCAGAAGTATAGATCACACTCTGGACTTGCAATTGGCATCGGACCCTCCAATCTATAGCTGTATTGGTCAGAACTTGTGGCTGGTATCGTGTGTGTGTGTGTGTGTGTATGTGTGTGTGTGTGGGTGGGGGGTGGGAGTGGTGGTGCAGTCCTGTAGGACTGAACCCTTAGATGGTGTTTAAAAAATGTTGGTGTGGGGGGAGACCTGCCTTCCACATTGGAATTGAGTTCAGGAACCCTTTTCCTTGTGTAACTGACCCATAGCAGAAAACCTAGGTGCATGTATTGACTGATTTAAAGCTAAACACTTGTAGTCACATAGTAAAAAATTCAAGTTGATTCATTATTCTTTTTTTTTTACTGTATTTTATTTATTTATTTATTTTACTAATTTATTTTTGTTACAGATGTTTCTCCTTTTTCTTCCCAGACACCCTCCTCCCCATTCCACCCCCTCACCCCCCAGCATTATTGTCTATGTCCATTGGTTCCACATCCATGCATATAAGTTCTTTGGTTTATCGCATCTCTCCTCCCTACCCCCCTCTTCTGAAGTTTGTCAGTTTGAACCGTACTCCTTTCTATGTCTCTGGTTCTGTTTTGTTCATCAGGTTGTTTTTGTTTTTGTTTTTTTTAATTATTTTACTCCATCCATAAATGGATAGTTTATTGGTATTTGATTAAGGTATAGGGACTGTTTAAATATACCCACTGGAAGGGTAAAAATACCAAGAATAGATGCTCCAAAGTTTGTTCTGTTTTAACCTTTGAATAGCTATTTGATTGGACCTCAGTTTTCTCACCTCTGAAGCTGGGATTGGGCTGCCTTGTCTCAGATGTTCTCCAGCCGTGCTGTGCTGTCCAGCACTCATGATCTCAGCAGTTAGGTGCTGTCCGTTGTCCCGGGACCTGGCTGTCCTCTTGACTCTGCTAACAAAGATAAGGAATCGAGAAGAGTAACATTGGTTGAGGGGCTTTCAAAAACTATAGATGATATTTTACTTACAAAGATTTTTACGTAGTCTGTCTGAGACCTTGGAGAGGTAGGCTTCCCTCTCATCTCAGTAAACCTGATGAATCAAAACTGGTTTTGTCTGCTCTGGCTCCAGAAAATTTGAGACTCACTTTTCTAGAGACTAAGTTGATGGGCACCTTGAGGTAGGAGAGAGAACTGGTCTGGCTGGGTGAGTGACCCACCACATGTCAGAGGTGATTTTCAGAGGAGGTTACCTGGGAGCTTATTGAACTAAAATGTTATTCTAGACTTTCTGATGCCTCACAGTTTTATGGCTTATCTGTCATCGAGTGTTTGGTAATTTTGGAGTACTGCAGATTTTCATTAGTGATTAATCTTTATCCTCCATGACGTTGATTTCCCCACCTTTATTTTAATATGTCTTTTGTTGTTGCCTTATATATGTTTTCTGGATTGAAGAGAGATTTAAATAACTAAATTAAATCAGAGATATGACTGGGGAGTGGGAGAGAGCGAATACCATTATTGAACAGCTTTTATATTATTAGGTCTGAATTGTGTTTTATAACATCAGAAGTCATCATTTTAAGATTGTATTTAATATATGCCAAAAGGTAACATGTGTCATTAAAAGAGTGTTGAATGACAGGATCATGATAACATTTTGGGAACCAGAACATTTTGCCGAAGGAGGCTATTTTGTACAATCTTTTGAAATTTTTATTTTTGTTTCTAGATAACCCAGACAGTGATGGAAGAGAAAGTATTGAGATTATTGATATTATATTGTATAGTTTATCGTATAAGGACCTGACCACATTATCACTCAGGGCCTGCTTGGACTTAGGAATCCTGGATTTGTTTCATTTCTTCCTGACACAGGTGTTATGTTTAGAAGCATGTCCTGCTTTTCTCTCCTCTGTTTCCTTGTACTCTCATAACCCTTCCCTGAAGGCTCCTTCCTCCCTACCCAAATGCTATGTACCGTTCTGCTCAATGCTTCATTGGATCCACCTGCTTCACATGGCTAGTGCAGAATACTCCCCCGCCTCACTCCCCCTCTGCAGTGTCTGCAGTGTAGGTGTGTTCGGTACCCTTTGCACTGCACACGTTCATATTGCTGCATATTGTTTCATGGATTACTCTAGAAGACCTCAAGTTGCTTATGAGTTTGGTGAAAGCCAGCTAGGTCTTAGTCGTGCACCTAACATGATACTGTGCAGATACTGCTCTGCACACTGCCTAGGGCTTGCCTGACTCTTGGCACTCACCTCCCTTTTCTTCCCCATTCTCAGGTTCTTTTTGTGCCAGATGCCAACTTTCCCTCGAGTACCTTAAGGTTATCATCATCTAGTCTTGGTGCTACAGTGTCTCCTTCATCATCAGATGCAGAATATGATAAACTGCCTGTATGTATGTCATTCATGCACTGAAATTCATGCTTATATATGAACTTCTAAATATAGAATATATTTTGTTACAGAATTCTACACATTCTCTTTGAAAAGATTTCATGTTAAGTTTTCCCCAGGGAAGCGGGGTTGAATGCAATGTATTGCTAGTTGAGAGAATGCATTTTATCCAAAAGAAACCCGTTCACATTTAAGGTCAAAAATGCAAAAACATGTGCCTTATTTACGTATGGATGAAGTTAAACTCTTAGCAAGACTTATAGTTTATTTATACTTCTCTACTCCTTTTCCTAAAGAAATGGAACCCTGAGTCAAATGTGAATTCTTTTATTTAGGTTATTTTCTAAACACAGTTGATGAGCCTTTTTTATGGTTTCATACATACACACTTTTAAAAAAATTTTAGTTTGATTTAGATACTTGTTATATGTATGATATTTTTGAATGACGAAAGACATTTGCCTGATTTATGATTAAGTTAAATAGAAACAGGTTATTTACAGGGAACTTATATGGCTTGATTTATGTAAGTAATCTGTTTTGAAAATTGCTTCTATTTGATTTTGGAAATTTTTGCTTTCTAAAGGATGCTGACTTAGCAAGAAAGGCCATAAAACCCATTGAAAGAGTCTTATCATCTACTTCTGAAGAAGACGAGCCAGGCGTGGTAAAATTTTTAAAAATGAATTGTCGATACTTCACCGATGGAAAGGTATATGACAGTGTAATTTGTTTCCTTTTCTTGGAATCTATAGAAAACTAAATTAAGTTTCAAATTACTGAAGTCAGGCTACATTAAACTACTTTACCCAAAGTTTCAGCATAAAATTTCACAGGTGTCCATTAATTTTCCCCAGTTGAATGCCTGGCATTTTACTTATTGAGGGAAATGTGATCACTGAATAGAAATATGCTTCTTTGTGACTCTGGACTTACCATCTTATTTTTCAGTTCTTGGCCTATAAATTGTTAGGGAGAATAGTGTAGTATATGTTTAACAGCAAAAACTGGAGTCAGACTCACGGAATTTAAATTCCAGCTCTGCCATCCATTAGCTCTGAAACCATGGGCAAGGTATTTAAATGTCCTACGCTTCCATTTTTCTCATCTATAAAATAGGAACAGTAATGAAATTTAACTAGTAGGGTATTGTAATTAAAAGGAAAAATTCATGTGAAGAGCTTAGCAACTAACCTGGAAAATGGTAAATTATTAGCCCTTCTGCTGCTGGAAATGCTGGTATTAAAGTGTCTGCTGTCATGTGTTTAGTTTTTCGGTTGTTGCTGTTCTTTACAAAGAGCAGATCCAACTTTTAGTGAGCTTTTGAAGAATGGGTTATGTTAATATAAAGTAAATTCCTGTTCTCATAGTAGAGATGTTATGGTAGGTCCCAAACGATAGGAAAATGTGTCATTGATATGGACTCAAACTTTTTCAATCAAGAACAAGTAATGCCTGAGATGTAAAACTTGCGACTTCTGGTCAAGATGGTGGGTAGGTAACCGCGGTATCGCGTCCTCCCACAACCACATCAAAGTTACAACTAAACTACAGAACAACCATCATTCAAAACTGCCTGAAATCGAGGTGCATAGAAGTTCTACAACTATAGAATTAAAGCAGCAGCCACATCGAAACTGGTAGGGGGGCAGGGGCGGAGGCAGAGGCGGACGGGCTGGTCCCACACCCACGTGTGGCGGGTAAAATCAGGAGGACACCTCGGCTGGGAAGGTCCTCCCTGAGGACTGAGGGGTCCCCATCTCACACCAGTTGCCCCGCTCAGGGTTCCAGCGCCAGGAAGAGAATCCCCATAACTTCTGGCTGGAAAAACCAGCGGGAACTGAGGCTCAGGGAGGCTGAGGCGGCTGGAGCCCCAGGCAGCTCCTTAAAGGGCCCGCGCATGGACTTATCAGACTCTCTCCCTCTAAGCTTGGAGGGGAGGCAGCTCGAGGGGCGCCAGAGACACACAGGGAAGAACTGAGCTGTTTGGCACTGGAGTGAGGGCTGGAGAGGGGGCTTCCTCGGGGACAAACGTGCTGTCAGAGGCCTTTGTTCCTTTGGTGAGCCCTTCCCTGGGGCGGCAGACAGCGGCCATATCTGGGACTCCAGCAACCTGGCTCACACTGGTAGCCCCACCCTGCTGACTCCCTGAGGCCCTGCCCTGCCCCACCCAACTTTCAGGCCCACTGAAGCTGTTGCCACTTGCTTAACCATAGATAGGATTGGCCTGTCTTGAATCCTGCTTCAGGTTTTTGTAAATTCTTTCAAACAATCAACATCCGATCTCAGATAGCCCCATACCTCTCATTAAGTAATACACAGAAACAAACACAGGGAGGCAGCCAAAATGAGGAGACAAAGAAACAGGTCCCAAATGAAAGAACAGAACAAAACCCCAGGAAAAGAACTAAGCACAATGGAGATAAGCAACCTAACAGATAAGCAACCTAACAGATGTTGAGTTCAAAATACTGCTTGTAAGTATGCCCAATGTACTTAGTGAGAACCTCAGCGAACTTAGTGAGGGCCTCAAGAGCATAAAAGGGACCAATCAGAAATGAAGGAGGCACTGAAATAAAGAATAATTTACACAGATTCAATAGTGGAGTAGGTAAAACCAAGAAGCAAACCATCAATTTGGAATCTAAGGAAGCAAAAAACACCCAATCAGAACAGCAAAAAGAAAAAAGAATCCAACAAAATGAGGATAGAGTAAGGAGCCTCTGGGACAACTTCAAATGTGCCAACATTCGCATCTTGGGGGTGCTAGTAGGAGAAGAGAGAGAACAAAAAATTGAAAACCTATTTGAAACCATAATGGCAGAAAACTTCCCTAACTTGGTGAAGGAAACAGACATACAAATCCAGGAAGCACAGAGAGTCCCAAACAAGATGAACCCCAAGAACCCCACACCAAGACACATCATCATCAAAATGCAAAAGGTTCAAGACAAAGAGAGAATCTTAAAAGCAGCAAGAGAAAAGCTTATAATTACCTACAAGGGAGTTCCCATAAGACTGTCAGCTGATTTCTCAAAAGAAACTTTGCAGGCCAGAAGGGAGTGGCAAGAGATATTCAGAGTGATGAAAAGCAAGAACCTGCAACCAAGATTACTCTATCCTGCAAAGCTGTCATTTAGAATCGATGGCCATATAAAGAGTTTCCCAGACAAGAAAAAGTTAAAGGAGTTCATCACCACCAAACCGTTATTATATGAAATGTTGAAGGGTCTTTTTGAATACATATCTATCGACAATGGAATCTACAAACAAAATGAACAGGCAGAACAGAAACATTCTCATAGATACAGAGAACATTTTGTTGGTTACCAGATGGGAGAGGGGTTGGGGGAATGGGTGAAAAAAGTGAAGGGATTAAGAAGTACAAATTCGTTGGTAGACTCACAAACCTCAAAGGGAAAGGGGTTGGGGGATGGGAAGAAATAAACCAAAGAATTTATATGCATAACCAATGGACACAGACAATAGTGTGGGAAAAGGAGGGAGGGGGCGGGAGTCAAAGGGGAAAAATGAGGAACATCTGTAATACATTCAATAATAAAGATTAAAAAAAATAAAAAATAAACGTTTTGCAAATATTATCACTGAAGTCCTTAAGAGTACAAAATAATTTATTTACCTAAAAGGAGTCATCTGCTGTCTCTGGAAGGTAATATCCTTGTGGCCATCAAGGTCTATATATAAATTGACCAAGATTCAGACTTTTAAGTTCCCACCAAACTGTTGGTTTTTGCTTTTAATTTCCATGTTCAGCTCTGTTCACGTCTGTAAAAATCTTATATTTCTATGTGTGTCACATTTTCCTGGATGTCGGCTTTCTTAACATTTTAGAGAAAAAGTATTTGGCACTGAGTTGGAGACAGCTGCCCCTTTGCACAGGCCCATACACTTGTTGGACAGACACATGCTAAAGACGTCCTGAGGAATTGCAAAGCTCCCGGTTCTCAATAGGAAGGCATCCGGGACAGCCCTCTCATTTTACAGACAGGAATTGGGGAATCTGAGACTTATATGTGTAACCAAAGATCCCCCCACATTTATACTATTGAGCAGCTGTGCCAGAACCAGGCTCGGCTGATTGCCACAGCGGGTCCAGTCTGTTTCTCTGCCTCGCCACACAGTACCCAACAGTGCATTTCTTCACCCTGTTTTTCCAGCCCTCCTGTAGGGGATGATTGTCATGTAGGATTCTGTGGTTCACCAGTCAATGGGATGACAGCATGAGGTCATTAAAGCTCCTGTGGTAGTTGCCTTTCTGCCTATGGTGATTATGTCTTGTCCATTTGTCCTGCAGGGTGTGGTCGGAGGTGTCATGATTGTCACTCCTAACAACATCATGTTTGACCCTCATAAGTCCGACCCTCTGGTCATTGAAAATGGGTGTGAGGAGTACGGCCTCATTTGCCCCATGGAAGAGGTGGTTTCCATTGCCCTGTACAATGACATTTCCCACATGAAGATCAAGGATGCCTTGCCATCGTAAGAGACATTTCTAATTTCTCAGAAAAAAAAAAAAAAAAAAGGAGTGGGGGGAACTCTTGGGAGAAGTAAATGCAATTAAAAAGTGAGAGCATTGGCAGGAGCAAGAGAGTTTGTGGAGGAGAATTTGAAGGTGGAGATTTGTGCATTAAATTTAAAACGTAGAAAAATGAGAGGAAATGGAAATAATAAAGTCAGTGGTAGGGGAGAGTATTTGTTTGGCTTATTTTCCTGAAAAGCAATGCATGTTCTTAATGAATTTATGAAAGAAGAAATGACATTTCTCTGAAAGAATTTCAATGTTTTCTTCCCAGTTTAATTGTTAAGCTGAGTTACGTTCTTTAATCAAATTCTGGAATAGGCAGTCTTCCCAACATGTCTTCTCCCAGTCCTGTCTAGGGCTGGACAGCAGCCACTGTCCCTATAGCCAGACTTCCTGAAGTGGTGTGAAGAGGGCGTAATACTGGTTTGTTTTGTCTCTCAAATGTAGATGAATATTACTTTAGTTCTGATTATTTTTGCCTTATCAAACTGAGGGCTTTTGTTTGTTTTTTAAGAAAGAAGGAAGCTTCTCATGAAGAGAGAGAAAAATGGTTAAGAAAGCTCGGGGAATCGATCCACTTGTAGGGATAATCTGATTCTTACTGTCATTTTGTCAGTGTGTCTGTTTCTGTATATACAGTGGCAGTAAAAATCTTTTGAAACCCTTAGTGACAGGAAGGTAGAGAGGCCAAGCTGTGGGTCCTAACTGTGCAAAGGGAAACTGGTCCTTGCGACTCATGAAAAGAAGAGAAGATAACTAGAGAATTAACCCAGGCACAAAGTTGTTAGGGGTTTATGCCACCACCAAACACAGGCACTGAAGTCAATTCTAAAGTCTGCTGGAAGTGTCCAGGTGAGAGGTTTAGGAGGCAGTCCTGCATGGTGATTAGGTCCAGAGCCACACTTAACGGGATTCCCCGGCTCTGCCCCCTGTGGCTTTGTGACCTGCATGAGTTACTACTCAGTGTCAGGCTTCAGTTTTCTCATTGTAAAATGGAACTAATAGCATTCTTCAGCTCATATAGGGCTGTTGTGAGAACTAAGTGCACTAATACACCAAAACTCTTAGAAAATAGCCTGATGCCTAATAAATATAGGTTGTCATTATATGAACCTTTAGTTCATATCTGAAACTGTTCATTGTGCTGTAGGAGTCTTGTTATCTGTGTGGATTGAGACTTCTAATGCATCTTATGTGCCTCTTATGTGCCTCGGCAGTGAAAACGGATGGGTCCAGGCTCCTGCCCTTGAGGAGCCTGCAGTCTACTGGGTACAATAGAGAGACTTCAAGAATAGTCATGCCATGGCACTGACACATCGAAAGGCACACAGCATCCCATGAGGACCATGTGAGGGAGTGTCCAACCACCTTGGGGTCTTAGATGGAGGCAGAGAAAAGGCAGAGAGGAATTAGTTTGGGAAAGAAGGAATGAACATTGTGTTCTCTGTGACAAAGGAAAGAAGATAAGAATAAGTAAAGATATTGTGGAGGGCGGAGGTGGATGGGCAAACAAACAAGGGCATTTCTTGCCCAGTGAGGACTTCTAATGGAGTAATACTGTTGCACATCTTCAGGTTAGAATGCTAGGTATTCTTTTTAATAATACAAAGGGAAGGTACATCGTTACAGAAAGTTTTCTCTTTGTGAGTTTGTGTTTAATGATCAGGATACAGGGCTAATGCCATAGCTGAGGAGAGAGAGAAAAGTTAAGAATTGGCTGCTAATGTGTTGAAATTATTTCAGAGTTGTGCACTGACTTCTGCCTTGGATACAGGTATATAAAGACTTTTCAGTCTAATGAACAATGAGCAAAATAGACTGTATGAGAGGAACCAGTGTGAAACAAACTTAGTATTATTGACTTCAATTCCATCACTTGTTTACAAGTTTAAAATAGCTTAAAACTTTATTATTACTAAAAATTGTGTGGTAAAATAAGAACTATACATTAGCTGCAGTGTGCAAATAGTTTTTAAGTGCGTGTGTGTAAAATCACCATTCTTACTTTTAAGGCTTTGTGTTTTTTGTGTAGGATATTTTGTAACTCTAGCTGCCACAGAATATAGGAAGGGAACAACCGAGAGAATTATTGATCCCTCATTAAGTTTCTGGCGGAGTCCAGCAAACATCAACCACAGCTATGTGCTTTGCCCCAGCAGTGCTTGGCAACTGCAATGCAGGAAAAGCAGATGACTAAATTAATCTCAGCTTGGGTTACGTGGAAGCTCAAGAAGGGAGGGGTGGACAAAAAGGTAATACAGGAGGGTGATTTGAGTGCAGTCAAACGTATAGTTTCTGGGCGTCAAGCTAGGTAGATATGGAAGTGATGAGAAAGGGCTTTGGATGTTTATGGAAGAAAATTTTGCTTACTACCAAGTGTGCGAAGAGCTGGATTTCTTTGCTGCTGGATTTCTTATAGCCTTTAATATGCCAAATTAAATTTTTTTGTCCTGATATAGACATTATACCACACGATACTGATGTATCTGACTCTAGGCTTGAAGCATCTCTGACCTCTGAATGCTGGTGTTGGGCAGCACATTTCTGTGTAGACAGGTTCCTGCAGAATGGAGACGCGCTGTCACAATCATTTCTTAGCATGTGGCACTTAGGAGCTCAGTGAATGCTTAATGCATTGAAGTGAATTAGGAATTAAAGAGGCTTTTTAAAGCACTTGTCAGAGCCTAACAATTATGTAAGCTGTTCTTTTCTATTGGAAAAAGCATGGATGTTGCATGCAAGTGATTTATTCAATAACTGAAGATAGTCTCGTAACTTGAGAACTTCCTGGTCCTTTGTCATTCTGTTGTCATAATTATTTCAAAGCCAGAATAATAAAGTATTACCTGAATATGATCTAGCCTTTTTAGAAAATATAATTATTTCTGAAATCTGAAAATGTTATTTTAAAAGGAGTTTTTATGTCTCTGTTCTAATCCAGTGTAGATAATAAGGTAAGTGAAAACATACGTTACTCAAGATCTTCCCAGTCATAGTTTAAAACATAAGGTTTTTTTTTACACCATTTATTTTAAATTTTGGAGAACATGTTTAATCAATATTTTTGTATAACTCAAATCTAGGTAGTAAGGAAAAGTAAATTGACCGCAGCCCAGGATAGTAAGTTTCAGCTAATAAACCAATTGTCTATTGCCGTAAAGGAAAATGATACTGTTATAAAATGAAAAAATTAAGAAATTTAAACTTAGTTAAGAAATGTAAAGTAAGTATTATAAGTAAGAGCTTATTTGATTTACTTTTCTCTAAGTTTTTAAGTTGGTGGACGTTTCCTCTTGTTCCCTTGGGGATTGAAGGATGTCTGTTATTGGAAACATTGTATCCTAAGCCATGAAACCCCACCTTAGGTTCAGAGTCAGTGACTTTATAAGAACAGTTAAATGTGTAGCTACTCAGTGAGCCATTCAGAATTAATGTAATAGATTTAGGTACTATTTTATAAAAAGGAAAAGCTTTCAATATTTAAGGAAGTTTAGTCATAGTACTAGGACATTTCCTCTCTTTTGTCCTTTTCTTCATGAAAATCTGAGACATTATTTCATCATTAAATGTCTGGTGGGTTACATCTCCATGTTCATTAGTGACTTCAAATACCGTTCATGTCTCCTTACTAGTAGGATATGCCTTTCATGGTTCTTTATTTTGCCACTTCTGTGCTTCATTTTGAAGTTAATTTTTAATTTCATTTTCTTATTCTGAAATCATTTAAACATTAGTTTGTGGTATATTTATGTTTTGTTTTTTAGTTGGGTTTTGTTTTGGTTTTTGCATTTCCTTCATTTTGTTTTTGGTTTTGTGTTTAACATTCCATGTGCACCCACCATTTCTCCCTCGACAGTGACCTACCTCAGGATCTTTGTCCTCTGTACAGGCCTGGAGAGTGGGAAGACCTGGCTTCAGAGAAGGATATCAACCCATTTAGTAAGTTCAAATCTCTCAACAAGGAAAAACGGCAGCAGAATGGAGAGAGAACCATCACTTCGGATTCCAGATCAACAAGACCTTCGGAGAAATCCACAGAAGACACATCTACAAAGCCTTCAGACAGCTCTGTGTCAGGGAAGTTCAAGAACCTGGAATCCTCTGTGGAGGCCTCCAGTGGGCCGACCACAGTCACTAAAGTCAGCAAGGAACCTCCTGACACGCATACTGAACTGAAATCTATAGCCAAAGAAAATTCCCTCTTAGGAGAAGAAGATGACTTCGTTGACTTGGAAGAACTTTCTTCTCAAAATGATGGTGGAATGGACAGGAGAGTAACCTCAAAGGAGTGCCTTTCTCGTGACCCAGAGGAGCAAAGGAAGGCTAAGTCACAGATAATCAGTTCTGCTCCGGAAGTGCAGGTGCAGTCAGCCCTGAGCTTTTCAAGAACAGAGAGCGATGCTGAACTGAAGGGGGCCCTGGATTTGGAAACCTGCGAGAAGCAAGATAAAATGCCAGAGGTGAATAAGCAGCCGGGCTCTCCAGAAAGCCAGGTGGAAAACACACTGAACATACATGAAGATCTCGATAAAGTTAAACTCATTGAATACTACCTTACTAAGAACAAAGAAGGGTCCCAGTCATCTGATAACTTGCAGGAGGCAGAACTAAGTGATGACAAAAACATTGAGCCAGTGGGAATAGACATCACCCTCAGCAGTTCTCTTGCCCAGGCCAGTGAGCCACCAACCGAGGACAATGAAGAGCCAGATAAAAACTGGGTGAAAAAAAGAGCCCCCCATCCACTGCAACTAGACTCTTCTACAGAAGAAAATATGAGTAAAGAGTCTCTAGACAACTCTTTGGAATCTGCTCTGGACAACAGCTCTGAAGGTGCACAAATGGATAATAAATCTGAAATCCAGTTATGGCTGTTAAAGAGAATTCAGGTGCCCATTGAAGGTAAGCCACTTTTCTTGAACGTCTTTATATTCTGTTGCATAGTTGGCCTTTCTTCAATACGCACATGCACAAGTAGTACAATAATTTGAGAACAGTGTTTTCTAAATAGAGCATATCTTTACTGATACATTAATAATTGGAACAAATAGCAATATATGGTATCTAATTTGGAACTTTAAGTATGACATAGATTTCTATTTCAAAAGTAGTTTGCTTTTTTTTTTTAATCTTTCCTTTTTTACTTTGAATTTCTAAACCTAAAATATGTTAAAAGATATTTCAGTTCTAAACTGTTGCATTATGGTGTGACTGGGTCCTCGGCATCATTCATTAATATGTATTCTTGTGGCTTGCTACAATTCTCCACTGTTTGGTGTTGTGTTGGTTTTTATGCTTCTTCATAGTACATAGTATCTCATGCGATATAGATCAACCTGAAACGTCTAAAGCGTTTCTCCTTTCATGCTCATGAAGGTCTGAACATTTTCATTAGTACCAATGTGATGATGATGTATGATGTTTCTGCCATACGCTTTGACTTTTCGTCACTAAGGGGGGATTAAACACTATTCTAAGTTGAAAGGTTTTACTGTCACCAATATTGTCAGTATTAAGGAAGATGTATTGCCTGTGTGATTCAGATATGCTTCCTTCAAAAGAAGAGAAAAGCAAGACTCCACCCATGTTTCTGTGCATTAAAGTGGGAAAGCCAATGAGAAAATCTTTTGCCACTCACGCGGCAGCCATGGTCCAGCAGTACGGCAGACGGAGGAAACAGCCCGAGTACTGGTTTGCCGTTCCTCGGGAGAGGTGAGTGTGGGCCCGCACGAAAAATCTGACAGTCAGATTCCAGTTGCATCTCAATTTTATTTTAACTTCATCTTAAAATACTTAATTTTGTTCTTAAGTAAGAGATTTCTCTTGTACATTTCAAAATTTCCAGAAGAGTATTATTTGAGTAGCTTTCTGCTAAAGGCTGATTTCAATATAACACATTTGAGGTCATCAGAGAACTGTGGGTTGAACCACTTTTATAACTTTCTACCCAGTTGAATTTTAAATGAAGAAGAATTAGACATTCTCAAGTGCCAATAATTGGAAGCACTCTTCTGCTGAGAAGAAAGGAATTCCTTGGAGGAGACCCAAACCTCTCTGAGTGCTATAGAGAGGCATGATTGTAATTTTTAAAGTGCTTATTTTTCGGGGGAACCAAAGATTGCTTTGGCCTTATGGAGGGAGTATCTGTGACTCAGCAACTTGAGAAATGTGACATGAGGTCATGTGGATGGGCGCAAGGAAATGTATACCTCAAAGAGATTTATGTTTTAAATTGCCAGGGAAGAAATGTTACTGGTTATGTGACAGTCCCAGGATAGCAGGTGGTGGCATAGAAATTCTTCAGAAGTGCATCACTGAAGACATTTTTATAATACAAATAGGAAACATTATTTTTCGGAAAAACTGGTCTCCTTTTGTATAACTAAACATGTCTTTAAAAAGGCCTTGTAGCTAGTTTAGAAAATTGTTAAACCCACACATATTTCTTTTTTGTAACTATTCTTCAGACATCATCATCCAGACAGACACTTTAGCACACACCTGCCAAGAACAAATATACTTGGTGAGCTTCCTTAAGCATGAATTGCTAATAAAGCAAAATTAAACTCCAAGCAAGGGTACACTTTCAGGCTGATTAGTGCTCAGGATGAGAATTCTCATCAGGAATTGTCTCATTTTAATAAGTTATAGTTTAATTTGAAAAATAAATAGAATAAAAAATTTGAAAAAAAATCGCCCTGGCGGATATGCCTTGGTTGGTCGAATGTGGTCCCATGCACTAAAAGGTTATGGGTTCGATTCCCAGTCTGGGCACATGACCGGCTTAGGAGTTCAGTCCCCTGTTGGGGCACATGTAGGAGGCAGCTGGTCGATGTTTCTCTCACATGAATGTTTATTTCTCTTTCTCTCTCTCTCTAAAAATCAATAAAAACATATTTTTTAAAAATTTGAAAAATTTAATAGGATTTAATGAATTTAGTAATGTCGTTTCCCTGTTTTAGGCACAAACCCAAATTAACATGAACATTAAACATAATTTTTGTTGTTCAGGTAGAGTGGGAGGGAGAGAGAGAGAGAGAAACATCAACGTGAAAGGGACACATTGAGTGGTTGCCACCCACACGACCCAACCAGGGCTGGGGACAAACTGCAACCAAGGTACGTGCCCTTGAGCAGGAACCGAACCCGGGTCTCTCTGGACCGCAGGCCGATGCTTTAACTGCTGAGCCAAACTAGCCAGGGCAAACATAATTTGTTTTGTATTAATGTAATATCCTCCTCTCCCTATGCCTGCAACCCTCATGGTTCTCATCGAAACTTTAACTCGAGAGGTACTGTGAAGATGAAAAGAAACTGTGTCTTTTGTTATTATTTTAAAATGTTTCAACAGAAGCCATGTACATTTGTGAAGCTCTGTCAAAACCAGAGTTTGAAAATCGAGTGTCACCGCTGGACAGTACCTGAGAGATGTAAACCAATTCCTGATTTTATGAGTTTAGAAAACAAAGCACTGAAACCATCAGCCATGTAAACTTCTGGGGTCTATCACAAAAACTACCTATTGTTTATGTCACTTTTTCTCTGGGAAAATGCATTATAGGAAGGGGACTCTTCTAGAATAATTAGAGCAATCTCACACGTGGTTAATTTTACTGTCATTCTTTAACCCAGAAGAAGTCTATAATGCTGAGATAGTACTTCTCTTTGACCTTTCATACAAGTGGTTTTTGTGAGCTTTTTAAAGTAGGTCACTTGTTGAATTCTATTATACTGTATTTTATAGCACCCTTGACTTATTTGTCTTTGGCTAGCAAATAACCTGGCAATATTTAGTTTTCTTTCTTGAACAAACGATTAATTAACCAAAGATTGTCTGGGAGACATTGTATCTCACAGTGTTAATGATGGATTCTTTGTGTAGATGTTTGGAAATTTTTTTGTTTTATTAATCCTCACTTGAGGATATTTTTCTGTTCATTTGTAGATAGAGTGGAAAGAAGGGAGGGAGAGAGAGAAAGAAATAGCAGTGTGAGAGAGGCACACTGATTGGTTGCCTCTCACATGACCCTGACCAGGGCCAGGGATCAAACTTGCAACCCAGGTACATGCCCTTGACTGGGAATTGAACCCAAGACCCTTTGGTCCATCGGCCAATGCTCTAACAGCTGACCCGAACTGGTCAAGGCTGGAAATCTTTGGTTTAATTGCTCCTTTATGTGTTTCCATTTCTACCTAACTTAAAGGAAGCCACATTGTAGTTTAAGATTGGGAAAGATGGAGAAATCCTGTAGTTAATTCCCACCCAGAACTCTAAGTACACAGTAAGAAATAAGAAAAATTTATTTTTATTTTTGATTTATGAAATTGTTCAAGTCTTAAGGCTCAACAAAGTTCTTTAGAGCCAAGAAGTGGCATGCAGTGATTTTCTTACTCTGATGATAATTTCTGGATTCCCTTGTTACATGAAACTGAGCGTTTCTACTTGCCTTTCTACTTAATGGATACTTGCATGCATTGGAGTTTCAGCAGCCGAGTGAAGAAGTCATCCTAACAGTGGCTCCAGATAAAAGCCCATATGTTCTGTGAAATGGCACCAGGTGTTAGACATCTGTTTAGCAACCTCAGTACTTGAGTTCTGGCTAAGAAAGTATTCAGAGCCAAGAATCAAACTACGAGAAAGTTTATTTAGAAAGTCACAGAGGTAGAAGAAGTAAGCCATAAAAGAAATGAGCTCAGGAAATGTTATAGAAGCAAAAGAAGGGTCCTTGGAGCTTAGGAGAGGGGGAGAGAAGAGAGAGAAAGAAAGATCAGTTTGCTGTTCCACTTATTTGTGCATTCATTTGTTACTTCTGTATGTGCCCTGCCTGGGGATCGAACCCACAACCTTGGCATATTGGGATGACACTCTAACTAACTTAGCTACCTGGCCAGGGCCTATTCAACTTTTTAAATAAATAATATGAAAATGGAATTAAATAGCAGGAATTATGTAGAATTTGCTAAGTCATGCATAAATGTTTAATCCAAGCTGAATTAATTGGTTAGTGTGATTTGTGTAATAAGTAAGCTAATAGGAGAGGGGAAGGGGGAGAAGGAATGGGTATTTTAAAACATTTTTTCTTAATCCTCACCTGAGGGTATTTTTCCATTGATCATCAGACAGAGTGGGAAGGAGTGGGGGAGAGAGAGATGGAGAGAGAGAAGCATCAATGTGAGAGGGACACATTGACTGGTTGCCTCCCGCACAACCCCAATCAGGGCTGGGGACAAACTGCAACTGAAGTACGTGCCCTTGACCAGAATTAAACCTGAGACTCATTGGTCCATGGACTGATGTTCTAAACGCTAAGCAACCAGCCAGGGCTAAAACCTTTTTTTAACTTAATTATGCTAAGATAATTTTAGCAATACTTGAACATACAGATAAGCAGGGGGAGTGGGCAGAATCTGCTTTTTGAAATCTGTTTTTTTTTTTTTTCCCCCACTTAATAAGTTGTCACGTTTTCCATATCAAAAACTGTTATGTTATGTATACGAACAAGGTAGTTAGCACCCCCATTATGTTTCCCTATTGATTTCATCATGTTCCTGCTTTGGGTGTTAGGTTGTTCCAAGTTTTTGGCCATTATAAGCAATGCTACATTAAACACTTTTGCAAAATCCTTCAGGGGGTCTTACCAAGTCTGAGAATAGTTTTTAAGGCTTTTAAATACATGTTGCACATGAAAGCGTATGGCAGTTTATAGCCCACCAGCACAGGAGTGCCCTTTTTGCCACATGACGGGGAGTCTAAGTGTGATTCTTTATCAGTTTGGTAGATGACAAAGGAAGCAAATGTAGCTTTAAAAATGTTTTATTTTAAAGTTGTATGAGAGCTTGTTCTATAACATGTGTTTGATAGTCAATAATGGCCTGAGGATTTATTTTTCTGTGCGATTTCTTTAGCAATAAATTTATTTATATCTTGTTATACAAATATATATTTAATTCTTAAAAATTCTAAAATACCATGTTTCACTAATCAGCTTCTGATTAAGATCAGCCAGCCCTCTGACTTATAAAGGTTATATTTTGTGCCTGCCCACATTTAGAATGAAGTCATCGTATATGTTAAATTTATTGTTTTAGAAAGCATATTTCCTTACATGTCAAGAATAATTGAAGTTCTCAAGCACTTTAAGGTAGTTAGAGTTTATTTTATATTTTCAAAATTAAAATGAGTATGTACCTATGAGCCCACACTATCTGTCATTTTAAAAGGCACCATCTGGCCCTGGCCGGTTTGGCTCAGCAGTTGGAGTGTTGGCCTGTGGTCCAGAGAGATCGGGTTCGGTTCCCGCTAAGGGCACGTACCTCGGTTGCAGTTTGTCCCCGGCCCTGGTTGGTCGTGCGGGTGGCAACCACTCAATGTGTCCCTTTCACGTCGATGTTTCTTTCTCTCTCTTCCTCTCTCTCCCTCCCACTCTGCCTGAACAAAAAATGGAAAAATGTCCTTGGGTGAGGATAAAAAAAATAATAATGAAAATAAAAGGCACCGTCTGTGTTGTGTATCTCTTTCTCAGGTCCAGCTTGTGAGCAGTGGCAGTACTTCTGCAGTGTGTACACCCTCTGCAGAGTTCTCCCGGGTTGCCTAGGCCAAAGAGTAGAACCAAGTGTTTAAGGCCTCATTTTTAGGAAGTATGCCTTTTCTTTAGGTCAGCATTTCTCCCAAAAATGGTTGATGGAAATCTCATCTCATAGACAATAGGCGT